ACAAAGTCAACCATGGTGGTATACGCCTGTAATCCCAGCTACTTAGGAGACTGAGGCAGGAGAATTGCTTGAACTCAGGAGGCAGAGATTGCAGTGAGCTGAGATCGCTCCACTGCACTCTAGCCTGGGTGACAGAACGAGACTCTGTCTCAAAAAAATTTAAAAAAATAAATAAATAAATAAATTCAGTACATGTCTCTATTCGTAGCTATCCACATACACATTTACACAAAGCTTTTCATTAGTAACAGGCTATTGCAAGTATCATTCTGCTGCTTTTTTCACTTAGTAGAAGGTGCTATTACTATCCCCATTTCACAAAGAAGTGATCAAACTAAAATTCTTTTTTTTTTTTTGAGACAGCGTCTAGCTCTGTTGCCCAGGCTGGAGTGTAGTGGCACAATCATGGCTGACTGCAACCTTGACCTACCGGGTTCCAGCGATTCTCCTGCCTCAGCCTCCTATGTAGCTGGGATTACAGGCACTCACCACCATGCCTGCCTAATTTTTGTATTTTTAGTAGAGACGGGGATTCACCATGTTTGCCAGGCTGGTCTCGAGCTCCTGACCTAAAGTGATCCACCAACCTCTGCTTCCCAAAGTGCTGGGATTACAGGCGTGAGCCACCATGCCAGTCCAAGCTAAAATACTAACCCTAGCCATCTGAATCCAGAGCCTGCCCTTTTGACAGTGCTGTAACCCTTCTGAGTTTCTAACAGTATAAATGTATCGTATTTGAGCAGTCTCCAATTGCAAGTCATCTGTTTCCAATTTTATTTTGTTTTGTTTTGAGATGGAGTCTCACTCTGTCAGCCAGGCTGGAGTGCCTGGTGCAATCTCAGCTCACTGCAAGATCCGCTACCCGGGTTCAAGCAATTCTCCCACCTCAGCCTCCTGAGTAGCTGGGACTACAGGTGCATGCCACCATGCCTGGCTAATTTTTGTATTTTTAGTAGAGACGGTGTTTCAGCATATTGGGCAGGCTGGTGTCAAACTTCTGACCTTGTGATCCACCCGCCTTGGCCTCCCAGTGCTGGGATTACAGGTGTGAGCCACTGCGCCTGGCTATCTGTTTCCAATTTTTCACAATTATAAAGAGTGTTACAGTGAACACCCTTGGATGTACTCCTTTTTTTTTTTTTGAGACAGAGTTTCGCTTTTGTTGCCCAGGCTGGAGTACAATGGCGTGATCTCAGTTCACCACAACCTCTGCCTCCCGGGTTCAAGTGATTCTCCTGCTTCAACCTTCGGAGTACTGGGATTACAGGCATATGCCACCATGCTCAGCTAATTTTGTATTTTTAGTAGAGACAGGGTTTTTCCATGTTGGTCAGGCTGGTCTCAAACTCCCAACCTCAGGTGATCCACCCGCCTTGGCCTCCCAAAGTATTGTAATTACAGGTGTGAGCCACCGCGCCTGGCCCTCTTTTTTCTTTTGGGATGTAGTCTCCCTCTGTCACCCAGACTGGAGTGCAGTGGTGCAATCACTGCAGCCTCAATCTCCTTGGCTCAAGTGATTCTCCTGTCTCAGCCTCCCAAGTAGCTGGGACTATTATAAGCATGCACCATCATGTCTGGAGAATTTCTTTTAATAGATATGGGGTCCCATTATATTGCCCAGGCTCGTCTCAAACTGTTGGGCTCAAGCAATTCTTCTGCCTTGGCCCCTCAAAGTGGGATTATACGTGTGAGCCACAGCCTGTAGTTCTTTTTCCATAGTTGTGAACACGTTTTATATTTTATTTCTAGAAATGGAAATAAAGGAGTTGCTCAGTCAACTCCTATGCTCATTTTATATTGTAATAGATACTGTCAAATCACAATTCTTTTTTTTTTTTTTTTTTT